ATGCCTTGGATCAAGCCCTGATTTTGAAAGCATACTTGGGTCTGCTGCCAACTTAGGTTGCCTGGGACAGAGATCGAGCAGGAGAGCTGCCAGATTTGCATGGTTTTTATTGTGAGTCCTTAGGTGCTGGGAAGCTTCAAAACATCCAGAAAGGTGAGAATTCTTTCTGAATGAGAAAGTCTTTCCCCACAATTGAGGTTTTTTATCATGTCAGAAGCAACTTGAGAAACTGCAAGTCGCTTCTGGTGTGAGAGAATTGGTCGTCTGCAGAGACATTGCCCAGGGAATGCCCAAATGTGTTACCATCCTGTGAGAAGCTTCTCTCATGTTCCTGCATGGGAAGCTGGAGCAGACAGATGGGAGCTCACCCCATCTCATGGATTTGAACTGCCGACCTTCAGGCAAGCAGTTCAGCTGACACAAGGGTTTAACCTATTGTGCCACCGTGGCTCTCCCACAATTGAGTGAGAAATTGTTTTAAAAAGGGAACATGACCAGTACTATTAAAGCTCAAATATAACAATTATTGTGTGCTCAGAGATGCACGTTGAAGAGATTCACTGGAGACTCTTAGTTCAAGCAGCCCCCTGCTCAGACCACAGGCTACTACCAATGAAGTGAGAGATAACTTAAAAGACACCATCAATATGTCCCTTTTGATAGATGCTCTCTTTCTGTGTGTATGTATGCAGACGTGTGTGCAGGATTGACAAGAGTGGGGAGAAGGTGGTTAAGTAACCAAGGCCCAACCATTCAGAAGGGGGAGCAATGTTGGAGGGAGGTAATTTGCAAAGTGGGAAAAAAAATTAAAATAGAAAAGCAGCAAAAACAGCAGTAGCAACAGTTCGGCAGATCAGAAGCTTCTAGTGTCAGAAGTAGAGCAATTGAGCTTAAGCAATTTAGGAACAGAATAAAGCTTACACACACACACACTTTATTCTAAAAACTACCCCTCTTGTCTTTCCATGCTCACAGGAGAAGAAGAACAAAATGAAGGACTCAGAGGTTTGCCGTGTGTTCAGAAAAGGAATCGTGTCCCTGAGATGTATCAGTCTAACAAGAAAGGAGAAATGAGGAGGGAAAGGAAGACAGGCAGACAGAAAGTCCAAAAGGGGAAGGGTCTTTCCCTGCCAGTGAATATATCTGCCTATCTAAGTCCTAGATGAAGACTACAACCTTGTGCAAGATATGGTTGAGTTCCAACAGGCAAGGGCCTTAAGATGTGTTTGTCCTTGGAGAAGAGAAGATCCAGTTTTATTATTATTTTTATCTAGGTGGGAAGAGTAAGGGCCAACTGTGCTTCCAACAGACCAACCTATGAGCATTCAGTGTACAGGAAAATGGCCTCCAATTACATGACTAATGCTGGAGGGGAATCTGCTTGTTGCAATCACAGCTGGCACTTGTTTTTCTTACTTTAATCTCAATAGGCTAAGATGATGAAGCTATAGCAAGCCTCACAAAAGGAGGGCCTCCAACAAGAATCCTGGGTTCCTGTGAGATCTCTCTAGTGCTTGAAGTCCTGTGTCACATGGACTAGACAGTATTGGCAACAGAGCAGGCTATCTCATACAGCTAGGAGCCCTCAGTGGCGCAATGGGTTAAACCCTTGTGCTGGCAGGACTGAAGACCAACAGGTCGCAGGCTCGAATCTGGGGAGAGTGTGGATGAGCTCCCTCTGTCAGCTCTAGCTCCCCATGCGGGAACATGAGAGAAGCCTCTCATAAGGATGGTAAAACATTAAAACATCCGGGCATCCCCTGGGCAATGTCCTTGCAGACGGCCAGTGCTCTCATATCAGAAGCGACTTGCAGTTTCGCAAGTTGCTCCTGACACAAAAATAAATAAATAAATCTCATATTGTTGTCTAAAAAACCTGGTAACCTGAGATGGTCCTAGGATGACCTGCTGGTACACTGGAAAAAGGACTATAGGGAAAGTATCAGGTGGAAAGGACAAGCACAGAGTAGGTCTTATTCTACTTCAAGGGCATGCCATATGGCAGGCTGCTCACTTGATAAGCTCATGTATGTATTGTTGAAGAAAATATGTAGATCACATGCTGCACCCATCTTGTGTTGGCAATCGCTTTCGTTCCAGGTATGACTTCGCTCTTATGTAAGGCCCCCATTTTGCATTCACCTTCCAAGTCCCTGCAGTTTTAGAAACAGATATTTTCTTTGAAGTCACTGTCTGAAGATACATCTGTCTGCAGTTATGCCTAAACTAGGTATGGGAGTAGGTAGCATGGCAGCTACTACCTGGGCAAGTGCAGCTGGGACCTGCCTGGGCAGGATGGGCTCCCTCTCCCATTCCAGGGGACTGTTCACAACCCAAGAGGGTGGGGAGAAAAAAAATAATAGTAGCGGCTAAGTGGAAAAACTGGCTGAGCCATGGAACAGCAGGAAAGGAGGCAGCAATTCAAGGCTGGGAAATTTTGTTGATTTGTCACCTAAGACAGGAAAGGCCAAGTAAAAGAAGGACTCCCAGCTTCAAGAAATTGCCCTGGATCCGGCCAAAATCTACCACGCACAGTGATAAAAAGGCCAAGGTCACGAGAATGCAAAGGATGGGACACCAGGGGCCCTCCCAAACAGCCCTATATCCCAGGATATCAAAGCAGAAAATCCCACAATATTTGCTTTGAACTGGGTTATTTGAGTCCACACACAGATAATGTGGGATTTTTGTGCCTCAATATTCTGGGATATAGGGCTGTGTGGAAAGACCCTAAAACAACAAAACCATTGCATAACGGGTCCATATGTCACTTGTACTATGAGGCAGTGGAAGTAAGAGCAATAACAATGGGAAAAATGTCTGGATTGCCTGTTTCTTGAATGCCTAGCTTCCAGGTGTTCTTCGAACCAATGCACTATCTATCTATCTATCTACAAAACCAGCCATTAAAGCCAGTGGAGCTGACCTTTACCCATTGTGAGTATGGTCAAGATGAGTAAAGCTATGAATGAGGAAGGACACACAAGCTAGGAGAGCTTGCAGCAATATATTTTTGCATAACCGTACAGGGAAGGGTTCGATTTCACCCTCTCCTCTCCCTTTCCCAATACCAAGTTAATGGAGTGCAAACTACTTTTACACTTCAACATAGTTTGCAGCAAATGAAGTTAGCTGAGGACAAAGTGGGAAAGTGAAGAGACACTGAGACATTTTAATGGTACCTGAAACAGTAAGCGGGCAGAAGATTAGTTGGGATTATCCCCCAAATTGGAACAATTAAATTATATGTTTTCAGTCCCATTTCTAGTTTTGCCAAGTCTGATTGCTGTTCCATTCAAAACCTCCTTGCAAAAGGGGGGTTTTATATAAAAAAGATGATGTAGATGCCCCTACAGCAGTGGTTCCCCACCTTGTTTTAACCAAAGATCACTTGACCAGGGACCACTTTCCAACATTAGTACCAAAAGGGTTACAAATCAGTTGTTGGTCAACTTTAGATTTGGTTTGGTTATTTGGGGTGCTGATTCAGAAAATTGCATTGGATAGACCACATCAACTCTAGTTTCTGATAAAGAACATATGCCATCCAGTAGTTGCCATCGGCTCACCCACAGAAAACTGTATTTAGTAAGCCTCGGCACTATAAGAGGGTTTCAAAAGACCAGTCAGCAGGAAGCAACTTAATTAGTTACTTGTTTTTATATTCATAAAGAGTAAATACAGCCAATTACTTTAAATACTGTTATAAAGGAGATGAACTGCCTTTAAAAAGTAACTTTCCAAATTTGCCATCAGCAGTTTATTAATGTGTTGTGTATATCTGTGATTCTGGCACACCTGAAACCCTGGTAAACCACTCTTGTTCTTAGTGATAAAAGAAGAAAAGGGTTTCCTACACAGTGGTTCCCATGCAAAAATCCCCAGTTGTTGTTACACAAGAACTGTCACAATTCCCAAGAACCATGGTTAGTGTAATCCAACAAAATCTTGGGACTCATGATGGGTCTAAGGTAAAGGTAAAGGTTTCCCCTGATGTTAAGTCTAGTCAAGTCCGATTCTGGAAGGTGGTGCTCATCTCCATTTCTAAGCTGAAGATCTGGCGTTGTCTGTGGATGCCTCCTAGATCATGTGCCTGGCATGACTGCATGTAGCACTGCTGCCTTCCCATCAAAGCGGTACCTATTGATCTACTCACATTTGCATTTTTTTGAACTGCTAGGTTGGCAGTAACTGGGGCTAACAGCGGGAGCTCACCCCACTCCCCAGATTTGAACCACCAAACTTTCAATCAGCAATTTCAGCAGCTCAGTGGTTTAACCTGCTGTGCCACTGGGGGGGGGGGGGTAGGCTGGGTCTACACTGCTGTATAATCCAGTTTCTGAATCCAGATCATCTGCTTTGAATTAGATTATATGAGTCTACACTACTATATAATCAAGTTCAAATCATATAATCTGGACTCAGAAACTGGAGTGTAGATAGGGCCTCAGTGTTGAGAATTACTTGGATTTCCATTTGTTCCACATTTAAAAAAATAACTTATGTTAGAAAGTTTGAGGGCAAACATGTTTCATTAGAAAGCCTTCAAGGGTTGTGATTGTATTTAGTATTCATTTTTTTCTCATGATCTATGCTTGAAACTACTGTTTGGCTGTGAGGGTAACAATTACATTTGGGGCCACACATTATTCTCATTGTTGACTCTCAAGTGGCCTAGACAATGATTTTAAACTAGCTAGATTGTACTGCCACAAATATGACTTTAAGAGCTGGAGACATTTGTACTACTATCTGACAGCCAGATCTGCATCCCAGAAACCGTATAAAAACTCACTAGGAACTAAGAGGGTGTGGAAGGACAGGTATGCTGAATTGTTTAACTTTACCCACAGAATAACAGTGAAACAGAAAGCCTTCCCGTGAATCTGGAAGAACAGGTGAATTAGATGTATAAACAGCAACAGGAGTCAGATAGGCTATGTCTTTATCAGGTACCTGCTATGAGTACCATCCCTTGTCTTGCCCCGTTGAGTACCTACCTACACATTCTCCTTCAACCTCTTCAAAGCCAATGACGCATGTACACTGCCCCATTGGTATCAGCCATTCCCCGTTGGAACTGCAGTGCATCTTGGGTGGAAAGCCTGGTTTCTCCGCTGCATCCTTCAGACAAGTGCCAAATACTGGTTCTATTCCCTCTGAACTAGCCAATGTCTCTGGGAAGTGGGCCAGGCTGCGCACAGTTTCTGAGCATGTCTTGTAGTAAACTCTCACAGAAACCAGCGCCACACAAGCTCCCGAGTTCTGAAAGGCTAGATAGAAACCACGTTGGTGCAGCTTTTCTATAGAGGACACTTCCATGTTCAACTGCATGGCACCTGACGCAAGGTCCCGGGCTGTGAAACTACGATCACCGGCCACAGTGTTGATCTGGAAGAAAAGAGAATCATTAATACTTAAAGCAGTCAGCAAAATCAAATCCTGCCTTGTTCTCAAATTAATCCTCTATGCCTATAGTTGAGGGTTTGAATGCTTAACTATATTCAAAATATCTTGGCTTTAGAAAATGAATATGTTGCAGGAAGGATTTGATCTGTCTTTTTTTTTTGGGGGGGGGGGGGGCTTCACAGGGGATGATTCATTCTGTGTTCATCATTTCCCTCAAACTCCCCCCCCCCCCCACTCTAAACCAGGGGCATTTAATATGTGGCTCTCCAGCTGGTTGGGCCTAGGATATTTTAAAATCAGCTGAAATGTGATATGAAAAGAATCAATGGGATCGTCCCTCCTAAATCAGTACAATTGGAGAGCATGAGTTGTGCTTGCTGGAGTTGAGATTTTGCTAAATGGACGGCATGGCTCCACCAGCATTGTTTCTTTATGTTTTCAGATATTTTTAAAATATTGAGGGAGGGATGGGATGATGTACACCAAACTTTCAGATATTAAAGATTTGAGTAAGTCCCCTAGTTGTATGCATGGAACATTCCTTCAATACCTGCCTTCTCATCTTCCTTGTTGGAGCCCCTGGTGGCGCAATGGGTTAAACCCTTGTGCCGCAATGGGTTAAACCCTTGTGCCGGCAGGATACCTGACCAACAGGTCAGCAGTTCGAATCCAGGAAGAGTGGAAGAGCTCCCTCTGTCAGCTCCAGTGGAAGAGCTCCCTCTGTCAGCTCCAGCTTCCCATGTGGGCACTGAGCACATAACAGGAGCCTCCCCCAAGGACGGTAACACATCAAAACATCCAGGCGTCCCCTGGGCAACGTCCTTGCAGACGGCCAATTCTCTCACACCAGAAGTGACTTGAAGTGTCTCAAGTCGCTCTTAACATTAAAAAATCTTGAGTTGTGAGTTTTCTGTGCTATATGGCCATGTTCCAAAAGCATTCTCTCCTGATGTTTCACCTTCATCTATGGCAGGCATTCTCAGAGGTTGTGAGGTCTGTTGCAAACTAGAAAAATGGGGTTTATATATCTGTGGAATGTCCAGGGTGGGAGAAAGAACTCTTGTCTGTTTGAGTAGGTGTGAATCTTGCAATTGGCTACCTTGATTAGCATTCAATGGCCTAGCAGTTTCAAGGTCTGGCTTCTTACTGCCCACCCTGAACACATATTCCACAGATATATAAACACAATTTTCCTAGTTTCCAACAGACCTCACAACCTCTGAGGATGCCTGCCATAGATGCAGGCGAAATGTCAGAAGAGAATGCTTCTGGAACATGGCCATACAGCGCAGAAAACTCACAACAACTTAGTGATTCTGGCCATGAAAGCCTGCGACATTACATCAAAAAAATCTTCCTTGTTGATGAATTTCCCAACTTTCTTTTGCCCTTTGCAGCTGCTAAAGGAATTTGCTGAAGTAGGAGGAGGCAAATGTTCATTCAAAAGATGTGTGTGTGTGTTTCAAAGCTTAAGAAAGAACCTGTGTCATACAAGGATAAAGAAAAGAACAACGGGATACCATGAGCAAGGGACAGATATGTAGCTTTTAATTAGGGATATAGTGATGTTGGGAAATACTCATACCCTGTCAGTCATGAAACCACAATCCAGACTGTATGGCTTCTGTAACAAAAGAGCTGGCAGCGTAGACAATGGGAGTGAGCAACTCAGTATCGGAAAAGTACATTACTTTTTAAAGTATTATTGTGGGCCCCTTGTGTAACATAATAGTGAGTAAGCAATTTTTCCTTAGGAGATATGGAGATGTTCATAAAAAGAGACATGAACAAAAGACCTCCCTTTCCCTCACCTTTTAAAAAATAATTTCCATACAAACGTTAAATGTAGGATAATGAATTTAGAACACTGATGAAATAGGAATAAACCATTTATTTTAAAATGAATTATATACCTGGTTTTAAAAAATCTTCACTTTGATCTTTCACCAATAACCATAGGATATCAATTTCCCCATGCATTTTGTTCTTCTTGCAACACTTTTTGTTTAATTGTCTAAAGTGTTGTTTGTATGACATGCTGATACTTTTTAAAAATAACAACAAAACAAATGACAGTCCCCACAGTCTTTCAGCTTTAAACTAATTTGCTCAATTTTCAAATAAATAATTCTAAGTATGATATAAATATTGTATGCAGCTGACAGATGGTAATTTTGTCAGCACCGATTGTTTTAAAGTGCAGGCCAAGGTCTTTAGGCACTGCACCAAGTGTGCCAGTCACCACTAGGGCCACCTTTACTGGCTTGTGCCAAAGTCTCTGCAGTTCAATTTATAAATCCTCGTATTGTATAAGCTTGTTTTCTAACATGATACGAGGATTATTATTATTATTATTATTATTATTATTATTATTATTATTATTGGGTTGCTGTGAGTTTTCCGGGCTATATGGCCATGTTCCAGAAACATTATCTCCTGACATTTCTCCCACATCTATGGCTTGGGAAGAAAGACAAAGATCCATGTTCTTATCATACATCAAAGAGACCACTGACCGCATAGGGAAGCTGATGAAGAAAGACAACCTACAAACTATCTACAAACTCACTAAGAAAATCCAACAAATGCTACGTTCAGCAAAGGACAAGAAGGATCTTCTCACCTCTGCAGGAGTCTACCATATACCATGCAGCTGTGGATAAGTCTAAATAAGGACCACCAAATGCAGCATCAAGGGGCATGAAAGACATGCAGACTAATTGAACCAGAGAAGTTAGGCATAGCAGATCACCTAATGAACCAACCTGGATATAGTATATTATTTGAGAACACAGAAATGCTAGACCACTCTAACAACCACAATTTCAGGCTACACAGAGAAGCCATTGAAATCCATAAGCATGTGAACAATTTCAACAGAAAGGAGGAAACCATGGAAATAAAGAAAATCTGGCTACCAGTATTTAAAAAACCCCAAAAACAGGACAGCAAATAAAGAACAACACTAAAAAAACAAGGGAATTTCAGACAGGAAACAATCAGGGCCAGCTAACACCTCTCAACAGAATTCCCCCAGGCAGGATTTGAAGCTGCAAGACCGTTCGGTGCTGTTTTAAAAGTTGGCCAATTGCAACATTCACACTTGCCTCAAGCAAACAAGAGTTCTTTCTCCCACCCTGGACATTCCACAGATATATAAACCCCATTGCCTTGTTTCCAACAGACTTCACAACCCCTGAGGATGCCTGCCATAGATGTGGGTGAAAAGTTAGGAGCGAATTCTTCTAGAACATGGCCATGTAGCCCGGAAAACTCACAGCAACCCAGTGATTCCAACCAAGAATCATTTCACTTTTCTTGCCCCCAAGACCCATGATAAGGTTGCCATAAGTTGGAGGCAACTTGAGGGACACACAACATGCAGCAAAGGCTATACATGACAGGGTGCAGCTGTCGCTACACTTCTCTTTAACAATATTTGTTCATCCTGCTGACCTTAGTGAAGAGCAGCCGACGGAACTGGATTCCAACGTCGTGTTCTGACTCCATGTAGTAGAGATTGAATGTCTCCTTGCAGCTCACCACCTCTCCTTTGAAACTCTTGCAATCACGAATGGTGAATTTCAGCTCCACAAAGATGTTGGAGGCGGTGTCACCACGGAATATCCAGTTGGTGCGAAGCCAGTGGTCCGTGTCTCCCTCAGAGAGGACACTGCAATCCTGGTACATGTACACAGGCGTACCGTTTATCATGTACTGTGTCTCACTCCACTGTGCATTGGGAAGAAAACAGGAGGGAGAGATTCACATTAACATGAAGCCTTACAAAGCGGATTCAAGAGCAAGTGAGCAAGTGAGCAAAATACTGCATACTTGTGTATAAGTCTAGAAATGTTAGTTTGAAAAATCGACGCAAACATATCTATGGAAGACCTGTACCTTAACTCTTATGAAAAAGGTAACCATCCCCTTCTCTGAGTAGATGTAAACTGTCAAGAGCATAATCTTTCCTGAGGGATCTTAAAAGAAGCCCCAATCCCCTCTTTTCGCTTGGTAATCCAGGAATGTCTGAGTAGAAAAGTGGCAGCAGAGGCCATGGATGGCTGGTGCCCTGTAGTAGCATTGGTGCTTTCCCCTCTCCATGGAATGACCCTTGACTTATCTGTGGGTCATATCAAAATCCATAATTTTGGCCCACAAACCCTGCTCTCAACTTATAAATGAGTATATACAGTACTCTTTTTTGGTGCTATAATGGGCCTGATAAAGAAAGCATAATATGAAAGTTAGAATTAATAAAAAAGACAGATAAGCTCTTTGCTTATTTACTGTCACTTTTACCTTACTATACCCCTTCTATATTCTCCTCTGTGCACAGTTTTAATGCAAACTTCATGGCCAGATATAGTTTTGTTGTTCAAAATTTCAGAATCTCAATGGTTTATGTTAATTGTCCCATATAAACAAATCAGCAGCAAGAACCAATAGCACTATAACCCATGCCTACAACATGGGATGGGAGTCAATCTTATCATAGGGTAGATAAATGCTTCATTGTGGGGAAGGAGATGCATTTCCCATTCAAAACTAGAGAACGTTTATTTCTTAATACATTGTTTATTTTCCAAGTGGGCCCACATACGTAGCTTATTTGTACTTAACAGAAATCACCTCGCCCTTGTTACTGTTAACTGGCACATTACATGGAAGATCTGATGTCGCCTTGTGTGCATTTGAAACAACATATGGATGCCTTGTGCAGGGCTTTCAGTTTCAATCATTGCAGGGGAATCATGGCAGACCTGCTTAACTAGAGACTATTTTCCTGGTACTTTCCCCTGCAGCTGATGTTAGGTGTGAAGTGAGAATAACATTTTTATCATTATCTTGGTATTAAATATATGTGAACTAAGTTCTTTTGTGGAGTACAAGTCCCAGAGTCCTCTTTTTTTTTTTTGTCATGTCAGGAGTGTCCTGTTGTGAGAGAATTGGCCGTCTGCAAGGACGTTGCCCAGGGGACGCCCAGATGATTTTGATGTTTTTATCATCCCTGTGGGAGGCTTCTCTCATGTCCCCGCATGAGGAGCTGGAGCTGATAGAGGGAGCTCATCCACCTCTCCCCGGATTCGAACCTGTGACCTGTCGGTCTTCAGTCCTGCCAGAACAGGGCTTTAACCCACTACGCCACCGGGGGCTGCTCCAGAGTCCTCTAATCCAGTGGTTCTCAACCTGTGGCTCCCCAGATGTTTTGGCCTTCAACTCCCAGAAACACTAACAGTTGGTAAACTGGCTGGGAGTTGTAGGTCAAAACACCTGGAGACACACAGGTTGAGGACCACTGATCTAGTCAGTACAGTGAGTGGAAGTTTGCAATCCCAAAACTATCTTTTCCAATCTCCTCCGTCACCTGCAAAATGACCACTTTTGTTACATATCACTTTTCCTAATAATTCTAGCAATCGCGTTTTGTTCAACATTTATGCCCACTTGCAGTTGATCCTCAGAAATAGTTTTTAAGTAGTTCCATAAATGATGCTGACACACTGAAAATGTGGAGATGAGGCACACATTTAGAAATGTCCCCAAAGACCATACAGCAAGTGCAGAAGCTGGAATGTTTACTTAGCTAAATGTGCTCACACATCCTATATAATAACTTCAAAAGTCTTGTCTGTGGTTGCCGCTGCTTTTAAATGCTTTGCTCTGACCTTTTAAAAATCAGTTGTATGTTTTTCAAAATGAACCCCAAAACCGAGGAACAGATGAATTGCCTTGTGAGGTCCCACTCTGTCTTTCTCACAAATCCCAAAACCACATGAAGCCTCCCTTATGGGTCTAGCCCCAAGTCTGCATAAGCACCACACATTGCCCTGTATCTGCACCATCACTATAAGTAAGGATAGGACTTGACCATTTCTCTCAAATCACAAACTTCCCAAGCCCAGCAGGAACTGAAAAACCCACATCTTTGCATTTTGTCAGATCAGTGAAGCTCATCTGTGCACCTAAGCACCCATTGTCCCTAAATACCAGGATTGATCAGTGTGCCTGGGCTTTAAAGCAGTCTGGAGAGCAGACCAGCTGGCCAGACAGAACTCTGCAGCCACCACCCTTTCCCTGCACTGATCAGCAAGGGAAAAGGGGAATGGACTGTCATCATCATAGGCGATCACTCGTGGCCAAGTATGATTGTCTTCCAAAGGTAGAGTCTTGGCGATGGTCTGTAAGTGACTGCAAATACCTATTCTGGATTCATACGCCATTTTACATTGAGAACATAGATTTCCAGATGGAATTTGTTCATGACAATGGTGTGCTTGACATGCCTTCCCCTTGGCACATTTATTGGATTGTGACCATGTTGCCACTACCGCTTCTAGCCAGCCATAGAGCTCCTTCTTACTGATTGTGTCATACCCCTTTTGACATCAGCTGAGAAGCCTGCAAATGTGATCCTGGGGAATCTGGTCAATGAGCTGAATCTGGAACTGTTCAGGGAAAGGTTTACACTGTACTAACATGCCTGGTATAGATAATAGGCTTGGGCTGAAATCAGTCTGAACAAAAATGATTTGTAGTATTCGGTGATCCGTTTTATATAATTTCCGAAAACAGAATGGGAAGGAGGGAGCCACAAAGCCCGGTAAAACAGATTAAGGGAGAAGGATTTTATCCTGTTCCTGGATAGGAAGGAGTTAAGTCTGCAATACACTTGAGGCAGGGATCTGCTTTGTTTTTTTCTCCCTCCTCATCAGCAGCAGCATCCGTCTATTTCTTTTTGGAAAGTTTCCTAGGCTCCATCTCCAGAGAGGGTTCTCCTGGGAACTTGCTTTCCCAGCAGCACTTGCATAGGGCAGGCACTGAAAAGTGTCCTCTCGGAGCATGACAGGAGTTGAAGCTTTTCTCTCTCTGCTTCTCAGCCAATAAAAAGCCTAGTTGTGTCCATGCTCTGATTGGCTGAGAAGGGATGCAACCGGCGACTACAATTCTCAGAACCCCCTCTTGCAGTTTGTCTTATTTAAAAAAAGGTTATGGTTGAAACTTAAAATAATTCTTAAAAAATCAGTAGATTGGTGAAATGTTTTGAAACTTGGCAGACCTGCAGTTGTAAATGAGGTCTAAAACTGAGGTAGGTTTCATGCAGATAGGCCTTAAAATGACTGGGGCTCGAGTCTTTAAAATTTCCCATTGTAGCCAATGGGCCGAATGTTTGCCAAATGAAACGGCAACACCCCTCCCGATTCGAGTAACTTCCTGGTAAACAGAATGAGGAGTTAGCCAACAATGGACCCCGAAACGGCATGCCTTTTGGCCGAATGGCACATCTCTAGTAGATAACACCCTTGGCCTATTCTCAGGGTTATAATGAGGACAATACTGGATATCAAAAAACCACGTGTGCCACCTCAATCTCTGCGGAGGAAAGATTCAATTAAAATGTAATAGTATATTTAATTATAAATATTTAACAGAAATTAACACCCATAATTCAAAGCTTGACAGACTATAGATGCAAACTGGTTATGTCAGTGTGTCATTTAAAATCTTGAATGTATAAGTACTTTGCAATTTGTTTATTTCATTGCATTCCTGTCACTCCTTTCCTCCCAAGGGAGTATAGGTTACTCTTCTTCACCTGAGAATGTGATGTAAGTTTGTACCTCATCACATTAGTGTGGGGCAGCAGGGGGATTTGCTAGCCTCCGTGGTGAATCCGCAGAGCAGGGGGTAATCCCATCATCCGATGCCCCCCCCCATCACCCACAGTGACTCTTCCCCATCACACGTGGAAAAGGGTCACTGTATGGCTTCCACTCTCACTAGCCCTGTTGCTGCCTTCATCTATGCATGGTATAACCTGTACAATTTGACAGTCTACATAGGAAAAATAGCTGAACAAGTGCTCAAAAGAAGAAATTGATGCTTTAAAGAAACCAGTGAAAAAGTACTTCAGCCACTTGGGTCATAATACTCTACTATTAACTGTCATTGAAAACCCTACATTACAATTTATCCAGAAGTACAGTTCTACCCCCTGTGGTTTAAATTGAGATAATGGGGTTTATTCTCACACTTTGTCAATGGCAACTGGTTATTTTACAAGCATTTAATCTTTAATGCAATACCCACAGTCTGCTTTTTGGAGTGGGGGGTATTTCATTTTCTTTTGGTTTTGCAAAGTTTCCTTTAGAGCAGGGGTTCTTAACTAGGGGTCCACAGACCCTTTGGGGGTTTGTGGAAATATTTCAGGGGGCCCATGAACTTGAATGGGAAAAAAAACCCAAGTGCAGTATAGCATGGACTTACTAAACACAGTATAGTGTTGATTTATGATGACTTTTATTTTGATGTAGATTGTTTCGGGTACAGTAGATAACTGTCTGCCAAAAGGTTAGTAAGAATGGTGGAAATTGTTTTATGATGCCATGGCAAAACACAAATTTCTGAACATTTGATGAAAATGACCAGATGCTGCATCATGTTAGGTGGGAAAGTTGTCTATAATGTAATCTAGCTATATAAAAATGTAATGTTTGTTTGTGGGAATAACATAACTCAAAAACCACTGGACAAATTGACATGAAATTTGGATACAATACACCTATCAGGCCAATGAGTGACCATCACTCATAAAAACACTGAAAAACACAGCATAAGGGACTTTAAAAAGCCAAAAAAGCAAAAAGACGCTAGAGCGCATGCGCAAAAAAACTCCCCCTGGCAAACAAAACACCACACAATAGTATATCCACACTCTCTTTCAGACTACA